AGAGACAGAGACAGAGACAGAGACAGAGACAGAGACAGAGACAGAGACAGATAGATAGATAGATCGATGGATGGATGGATGGATATATATATGTATGCATGGACACCGCACAAATTGTTGCCTAGTGAAATGGAGAGAAGCGGCTTCAGCTTTCAACTGCCTTGTTCCCCTTCAAAGGCCAGGGGAAATCACAGGGGGTGATTGAGCTGAAATCACCAAGGATGAGCGTCCAAGACTTGGTCACAGAGGTAGAGCAGGCACTGGTTGAAGGAGAGAGGCTGGACGAGGCCCGGCTTCTCCTTTGTATGGGTTGCGTTGTTGGATTGTTTGAAGTTGGAGGCGCTGAAGAAATCTGAAGAATATGTTCCCACACAGCTGTTGCATGCTGTTGCCAGTGTCATGGTACCGACGTGATTTCAGCTTGGAAACGTGAGAAGTCTCACGAGGTCATGCCCTTTTTTGCTAGGAATTACCTGCATCACCAGTTTCTTGCAGGACTCGCAAGCATATGCCAATCTCAGACGAGAGGCAGTGGAAGGGGGACGTGCTATCAAGCCATTTGCCGTTTGGGGGATTTTGAAGGTTTAAGAGCTACTAGTAAACAAGAAACTACTAGGGGCTCCTGGCCTGACTGCTAGGAGCAAGGACGCTACTTAGGGGCTCCTGGCATCGCTACTAGGAGCATTCTTGCTACTAGTAGCAAGAAGCTTGAACGTTTAAGAGCCCATGGGGCCCATGAGTTAACCCACCATGCTGCCAGGCCCAGTCGCTGAGACTGGAGAATGATGCCCTTGGCGAAAAAGTGGCAGAGCTCGAGGAGAGGTGTTCAGATGATGTGACTCGTGCCGTCCTTTAGTTTCGCATTGCTTCGATCCAACCTTAAAGCATGGTAAAAAAACTACCCACACCGGGTGTTCCTCCCTTCTGGGGCATTCTTGCCCACCTTACTGCCAGTTGGCACTCGAGTTGCCAATGTTTTGCTTGTTCCAATTCAAGCAAACTGGGACCCTTGTTTGAACCACTGCCCGGCACAAATGGGCCAAACATCCGTTTCATGGGAGGAGGCTCGCAAGAAGTACATCGCCCAAGAGGCAGGAAGACTCACCGTCGATTGACCACTCTCTCTCTCTCTCTCGCATGAGCGGAGTGATGAGCTGAAGCCAGCTGAAGCCGACTGCCAGGAAGAGCTCACAGCGAAACTGAAAGAAGATGGTGGTTTCTTTGCCTTTGAGAAGGCCGGATGAGATGGGAGCAGGACACTTATGAGGCTACTGATGGCTGAAGGTTTGAACAATGGAGGCCCCGATTTCAAGAGGAAGCCCATGGAACCTTACAAGCTACCATTCCCAAAGTGCAGGTGCCAGTCAAGACATATAGTGAGGTCACCGCGAGAAGGCCCCAAAACTGTGTCAAGTTATCCTCAGGATATAGTGGAGATGACTGGCAAGATTCAGGAGGTGGACTACAAGATTGCCACGAACCCAGTTGGATGAGATGTCTCCTAGTTGTTTTCTGATATACTATTTCACATCCTGGACCATTGTGTCAGGCAGGGCTGCGGCACAAGCATCATCACAACATCAAAGATGTCGGCTCATTGAAACGAACGATGTCTCTTATTGAGAAGCGGGGAAAGGCGCCAGGGCAGGGCTGGGCCGTCAGAGCAAATGGAGCAGAATCAACGGCGCTCTCTGGCAGAAAGGGGAGGGGAAGGCCCACACTATCTTGCTCGAGATGATGGCTTCTCTGTTGGTCCTTCATTCTATCATTGTGTTGGTGGGACGCCACTGAGAGGGAGTTTAACCAAGGGGTTTTGTCATGTTTGGTAAGTTTGGTCCGCATTCTTAAACGGAAGCTCTCGTTCCCGGACTGTGTTGGACATGCACATGTCATATGTCAGCTGAGCATGCTTCATGGCCTCTTGCTCAAGCAGTTAGTAGTTTTGTTCCTGTTGCACAATGTGTTCGCACGACCGGAAGAAGAACAAAGGTGGCAGGAAGTCATGCTAATCCAATCGCAGAAGCATGTGAAGCAGTCAAGCTTGCCTTTGTGCAGGCTTACTGGTAGGTAGAACAGAAGAGGACTTGTAGCAAGACCTTGAGGGGTGTCATTAAGTCTACCAAGTTCGTGGTTTAGGACCTCAAGGTGAAGCCATGGTGCGCAACTCTGAAAGTGAGCTGGGCTCGCTCTTCTCGAAAATGCATCTTGGACTCCAATTGTCCTCGAAGCCGCATACCTGCCGACCCATCATACCTGACCTGTTGTTGTGTGGTGTCTCGCTTTTCCCAGGAGGCTGTCAACACGCCAGATGTCAAGTATATTTTGTCCGTGCAGTTCGTAGGGAGATGTGCTTGGTCCAAAGAGCACCGTGAGGTTTCTGCCGCCAAAAGGGCAGGCGCCGCCAGCGACCAAAGGGAAGCCCGTGCCAAAGCCGCTGGTGTCAAGGGTGAAAGACACCTGCGTCAAGGAGGATTCTTTGCACGCACACACGCACAGTGGAGTGAGAGCGCAACTTTTCCCATTTTGATTGGTGTTGGTTTTGAAACTGTTGACATCCATTGACACAGTATTCTTCACTTCCAGAATCATTTGCCATCAAGGATGAGGAGACGGACGTGCCCCGGGATGACGCCCTCTCCTCCACATCTGGAGAAGTCTCTCTTCCAGTTGCCGAGAAAGCACCGACCCCACGACCACCAAGGCAACCTCCACGTCGCTTGCACGGAAGTGTGAAGGATTTGACCCTCAGCTTTGAATTCAAACCGCCTCAGCTTTTACTTACTTCACCGCGATCTTTTTACTTATATATTCCTAAGTGGTGACAATGTTCATGCGTCCGTGCATGTCAGGAAACGCACACACTCAAGATATTGCGTACTGACTCGATTGCGGTTTGCCACTCACCAACCTAAGTAAAACGCCTAAGGGTCCAGGTAAAATGGAGCGGAGTTCAACCAGATCCAACTTCTCAAAAGGCTCGAGCGACCCGAGCGATCCACGTCCCGTGCAAGTCTGCAGACCTCAGATTCACCTAAACAGCCTGTCGAATTAGAGGAGGAGGTAGTTACAGAACATCACACTTGAGAAAGCAGGTGCACAGATTGGCACCCCAATCTGCTTCACGGGTATCCACAGCTGTCTTCGTTGGCAGCAGAACTGTGGACTCCCTGCTGCCCCCTTCTAAAAGCCAATACTGCAACGGAAACCCTCTGACTCCAAGGGTTTCTCACACACACACACACACTCTCTCACACACTTGAGGTAGAGTACGTACCGACTGAAAACCTAAGTAGTGCAGCGGGGCCCAACCACTTCCTAGCAATATTCAAAGGCAACCTGTTTTTGAGGTGAAAGAATTGAATCGCTCTGTGGTGTGACTTTAAGTAATGAAAAAGGTGCGCACGCACAGACACAGGCGTAACAAGTTCCATGAACCAAATGCAACGGGATTTCTGCAAGAGCTACCTGGATTTGCTCTATGGCTTCTCTTTTTAAGACCTAAACGAGGAGAAGCACAACAAAAACATCAGTGTCAGAGGTGGTGTGGTTGCTTGTTCATACTTACTCGGATGCTTTGGGACTGAACCGGACCTGGTGTATCATCAGAATTTGACGCAGGATTGGATCCAGGACCCCCAATGAGCCGCCTGCGGTACCTGCTGGGCCGCCTATGCGCCTGAAGGTGCCTGCAGGTTTGGACGCTTGGCAAAGCCGCAAGCGGAAGGCACCCGAGCCTCCTGCCGGCCCGCCAGAGGTCTGGGAACGTGTGCCTTGGATTGACAAAATGCTTGAAGTGATTTTGAGTGCGAATTTCGGAGAGCTTTCCATAAGCCTAGATCCTTTGGAATGTTTGACAGTTGCCCGTCAGGGTTTGAGCGGTGACTGATCAGGTCATTGACACCCAGCGAAATGCAGTGTATTTCTACGAGCATCGAACCCGCAGATCCTCTTGGGACACTCCTCCTCAACTCTTGGGCTGGTGGGAGCGGTTGCGAGAGCAGACTGGCCTCGAATTCTTTTGGAATTCCGTCAGTCAGAACACTGTGTGGCCGGGCTGCTATGAATTTTTTGTGTTGTGTGAGTTGCGTGAGGCACCCAGAATCGGGTTCATCAAGGTGGGCATTCCTAAATATTCCTAAATCACAAGATTGAAATTTAGGTTTCTCTTTCTACAAGGCACTTGGTCGAATTGATTCATACGATATGATATGATATGATATGCAAACATACATTTGTGTGTCTGGATTCGTTTATATAGTGTTGTTTTAAGAGGTGGGGTGGATTGGTGACCTTCCTTGCTCCTAGTAGCGATGCCCTTTGCTCCTAGTAGCGTCTTTGTTCCTAGTAGCGATGCCAGGAGCCCCTAGTAGCGTTCTTGCTCCTAGTACCGAAGGTGGCATTTGCCCTTGCAAGAGGGGACCCAGACTCAGACGGGATCACTGGCGCTCGGACCACCAACTCCAGCGCTGGCACTTCCAGCGCCGGACTTTGACAAGGACAGGGGTTCGCCTTGGCTAGAGGACGCTCTCGACCCAAAGGATGAGATGGCTGAACGGTGACGCACTCATAGCATGACTTATGTGAATGTGGATGTAGGAGTTCTCAGCAGTTTGACTGCCTTGTGTTAGAGTGTTTGATATACCGAAGGTGCCTGGAACGACCCCATATTCTTGTATTGAACGCACAGGTATTGAGTGCATTGCTTGCAAATTTGATTTTGCATTCCGGTATTGATTGGGGCCAGCACAGCAGATGGACGCTTTCGGTACCAAAATTTGTTGGTATAAAGATTTGCCGCACGGTGGCTGACAGATCTAGGGAGGCAACAGCTGACAAAAAAGTGCGCTGGCCAGGGGGCAATGTGGTTCTGAAGGTCGCATGTGCGGCAAGGAAGAACGGGCACGTGATTTGCCTGGCAGAAGCAACGATTTGGTCTGCTTTAATGCTTTTCCAACAGACCTGAAGCAAGAGGACTCATAGCTGGGCCAACAGGTCACCACATTGATTGACAAGACAGAGGAGGCGCTGGACCGGGGCCAGGCGCGGGAACGGGTGAACTCGTTGGTACTGAAACACTCCGATTGCAGAAGCCAATCGTTGGGGCATAAGCCTGCCGATCCGGCAACAAGAAAGATCTGGAGAGAGAGAGAGAGAGCATCACATCTTCTAGTAGTAACAGGTGCCTTACTAGTAGTAACAAGAAGCTACTAGTA